CGGTCGTATTTAAAAAAGCATTATTTATAACATGTATTTTACATAAGAAAAAGTAAAAAAATTATTTAGAACTTATTATTCTAAATAATTTCTTCTGATCTATTTCTTATTTAACATTTTAAATATATTTTTGAAATCTATTTTATATTTTTCATTTTAAATAAGTCGTATCAGTTTTTTATTGACCCCTGCGATCTTTCATTTTAAATAAGTTTCTGGAATCTATTTTGTATATGTTATTTTAAATAAGTTGTATCAGTTATTTCACCGACCCTTGTTTCTTATACATAGATTATGTATATGTACACAACACTTTCACAGAACAGTCTTCCTTCTGATTCATATGTCTCTTCGTCTATTAGTTTATTTTTATTGTGTCTTCCAATTGATGCCTTCTCATACACATGAGATTTTAATATTAAAATTAAAGTCATAATATATTTAGATATACTAAATCTGGAATATGTATACCAGATATGCCAAATTCGGTAATTATTTGGGCCTTTTCCATGCACTGGACGTAAACAAAAAAATTATATAATTTCTTATAAAATATAAAAATATATACATGTATATTTATATTTACATTTTTTATATAATGCAATTTTTATTTTTTTAGAAAAATTATTTAATTTTTTGTTTCTATCCGGCATATGAAAAAGGCCCAAATAATGATCGGATTTGGTATGCCGAATCCGGCACACCTCATCAATATCTGTATTCGGGCCTAATCCGGCGCAAGCTAAATCTGGCATACCGGACCAAATTTCTACTCGGGCAGTTTCCCAGACTCCGTCCGCTGCTCTCGCGCGACTTATTAATTAGCACGGCGAGGTGCGCCGCGATTGATTCGATTTTTTGTAGGAAAGCGTGACACACTTAGGTAGAATCGAATAAGGCGAAATTATACTGGACAGCAACGTCGAGAAATTATATTTTCTCTTATGAAATGTTCAAGCGCTATAAAGTAGGAAATTAAATAAAGTTATTAGAAATGTTGCCTGGATCATTAGCGTTCTTTTCTCGATAGTCTCGCGTTGCGCGCGAACCGCATTTATGTTCCATTGTCAAAATATATATAAAACATATTATTATAACGTATAGATCATCATGCGCGATTATCATTACACTCATTACTGTCAAAATCATAAATCATAAAAATCCGTTATATTCACTCATCATCTGTTATCTAACCCAAGGTATAACGTTTCGCAAAGATTCCAACCGCGCGAATAATATATCGTTCCCTGATCCCCCACCTATTTTCGCCTAAACACTCCCACATATTAATCTTCCATCGTCCGGGACTACGAGCTCCTCTCGTTAGCTGGAGCCGTATAGCTAGGTTCCTCCCGAAAGAAGTCCTCCCGCCGTGTAAATGGACCTCGTTGGCGAAGACGAGATGAAAGACCGCGCGCAGGTAGAAATCAGCCACGTGAAAGAAGTCAGTCTATGAGGAATCGAAAAAAAAAAGAGAGAGAGGGAACAACGAGCGAAATAGAAGCGCGGGCGGGCGAGAGAGGTTTCGGCGTGCTAGGATCGGCGGCTCGCCGCGACGAGGCAGGGGGACAGGGGGGGGGGAGGGAAACACTCGGCGGGGCCGAGATATCGCATTAACGAGGCCCGCTGATGGGCCGGAGCCTAGATCCACGTCTAATTACATCCGCGCGGAGCGCGGGGAGAGACTCACCGTTTCTCGCGTGCTGAAACGGTTCGAATCGAAATTATGGATCTGCGGGCGCTCCGCGCGCCGGCTTGACTGACGCATGACTGGCTGGCGGGTTAAGCGAGTCAACGAGTAAATGAGTCCGAATTACGTGGGCGTGTCAATGCCGGGAAAATGAGCTCCGCGAGGTATCTTCTGGCGAGGCTTATGCAAAACAACAGGCCGGATAACGTTCTCCGCACGCGCGCTCGCACGATCTCGCCCGGCGATCGGTAGCACGCGGGTCGCTGACACGCGCGACGATTGCATGTAGTTTCGCATAGAGACAAATTAGCGTAGCGTGAGACGGGTTAGACTGTGCTGTTGCGTTCGAGGAGGCCATTCTTAGAGTAAATCTTGATTTGCGGGAACTTATATTTAGAGTGCATATTATGTGTGCGTTACCACAGAAAATTCTCATATCCGACGATCTCATTTATCATCAATGGGCTGTCGTTCTTGTCACTTTAGATACCTGAACAAGTCGTTAGCTTTAAGCGGCTGAAAAGACGATCGCTCGCTGCGGAATGATGTCTTGGCGGCTGGAGTGATGCGGCCTTATGTTTTTTACGCGCGTCAGTTTATGTCTTTTTTTTTGCAACGTTAATACATAAGCGACATACATAGCGACGTATAAAGCAAATATTAAAATGTCGAACATATACGTTTCTCTGGTAAATTTTATAATGCGAATTAGTGTTTTTAAAATAATTGCTACTTGTCGTTTCTTAAATATCACGTACAGAATTGCAGGGGAGGAAATTCGCGAAATTCAATTAAAGGAAATGAAGAGACAAGTTTTTAGTCGAGCCGATTGCTGGCTTCGTACGGGAGTAAACGCGAGTAAACGAGGGCAGTTTGCCTGCCTGCCGACCGGCCGATAATTACCACGAAATTAATATTTCGATAATCTGATGGGTAATAACATTTATTTCTCGTTCAATCTATACGTTGAATAAACTCGGTCCCCGGGATCCACATTAACGAGCACCGTTTCGCAATTGCCATTTAATTACGGAGCAATATATCGAAAATAATTAAGAGTCGAATGGAAGGGAGAATTTCGCGACATTAAGCGAATCGTAAATTAATTGCGTCCAATATGTCGAGGGATAGAGTAGTGCTGGTGTATACAACCCCATAATCCGTATCGTGATCGCGACATATATAATGAAACTTATATATTAAAGCTGACATATATCTACAAATGTACGGAGTTCGGTTAAATTGTTGCGATTAAACGATAATTTGTTAATGTCACGCGTTACTTACACGGTTTCATAAATTCGCGTTTAATACGCTCCGAAAGGACCATGGGAGGAATGGGGGAAGAGAAGGGGGGGAGAGGGGAGAGACAATGAATGATATCGCACGCTCATTTCGATCGGAGATCACCTGAATTATTGGTGTATCAGATATATCGAGAAAATTGGCGGTGGTCATCATCGCCATTATGAATTCTTTATTTGGATGTTGCGGCGTCTGAATTACAGGGCGGTATGGGCTACCTTGCTTACTGCTTCATATATGGGCCCGTCGGTATCAGCGATGGCTACGAACGTCCTCGCATTCGTTCAAGTTCGTACGAAAGTAGTGCGTTACTCATCCGTTTCGACCTTCGCCTCGTAAAGCAATATGATGTTATAAAACGAGACGTTTCCACTCGCGCTTTACGCGCTTAAACATTCTTCCAGGCGGTAATTTTGCATACTTTCGTCGTTTATGCGTTCCAGTTTTTTAACACTCGTGAATCCTCGAGTTATCGAAGCCTTCGCTTTCCGATGATCGCATGTATCGGTCAGGCTCGGCCATAACGAGCGCAATAAACAGTCGATTTCTTAAAGTGCCGGATATTTTAAGAATTTTCGCAGATATGGGAATTTGTATAAACGCGGGGATGCTTGGAAGTATTTTTCGCGTTAAAGTATATAAAGCGCCATAAATAGAGCGCAGCTAATCGCGTATCAGCGATGAGCCTCGCAATGCACGATACACGAGCAGATAGCTCGACATTACCAGCCTGCTTCCTGTTACTTGAATATCTGATGCTAAACGGAACCATTTGATGTGAGGTCTCGTTAATGAGTCTATCATTAACTTGTCGTCATTATCTCTGATATAAAACGCGTGCTACTGCCACCGCAATAGATTAATCGAGTCGAATCTAGAATGTTTATAACGGATGTGAGTACGTGTGTTCTGCGCGTTAAGTATATGCTGATTATATGCCTGCTCTCGGCTGTACTTGGGTGCACTCTCTCAACATTTCTTAATAAGGGCCCGGCGGCTTTTGCAAGTGTATAGCTTACGCGTAAAACTAACGTTTCTGGTGCATTGAAACTCTTTCTTTGATACTAGGTGCTTGTTAAAGGCCTCATTTTTTAATTGTAAAATTTTTCCCGTTTTCTCCACGCCTTTTCTTCGTAATTGAAACAATTTTGAGGAATTAAACTTTAGAAGTGTGACTAAATAACAAAATTTTATTTTTTTGAATCGTCTAAAATAGATTTCAATAAGTTTTTCATTAGCCTCTTAAATTTGAGATGTATAACATGATTTTTTTTTTATTGTTAAAGGAAAGATCGACTTTATTCAAATTTCTACAGGCGAACAACAAGCGTTCTTTTTAACATTTATTTTACGCGAAAAATTAGAAACATACGGTTGTAGTTACATCCTCAATACTTCGCGCAATTTGCAGACTCGAGTTCTGATCTATCGGTAGCAAAAGCGTTCGGTTATGACGAGTGCCAGACTTAGCGGATACAACGAGGAAAAGGCCCGCGAAATGACTTTATCTTAATAAATTACGTCTCTAGGGTAAACCTCGCGAATGGCTTCAAAAAGATTCTCAGAAGGACCGCAAACGCGGTACACGCTATTTTTGGAGAATAATTCCTTTTCATCTTTATGCACTGCGTCTCTGCAGCTCCTTGCACGCCGACGCACGTCGCGCCTTTTTTTACGTACCGTGTATTACGCAAAGCGTGCAATAAAATGTAAATCTCCCCTCGTTAAAGCGATAAGAGAAAGAATAACACGAGCTTTATGCGATTTTTTTCTTATCTTACGTCTTCGATCCGCTGGAAAAAAGATCGCATTTTAATAATATGTATATGCATATGAACTTTTTACTTTTAAAGGCGAAGACAATAATTGCGTTACGTAAGGTTTTACTTGTATCATGTTTTTGAATGGTACGGGAGAATTACTGGAGAATTGAAAGGAAAGATGAGGAAGTTGAAGAAGTTCAGAAAAAAGTTTCAATAATGTTTCCATTTATTTAGCTTCGCTATACACTGTACTAAGTCGGTTTACACACGCGCTCCTAATTTTTAGTCTCACGTACCTCACTATCACTTTACGCGGAAATCGCCGTATGCAGATATACAGATTTTTTTTTTACTCGCTCCTAATATTCACTAATTAAACTCATAATCAGGTATATTGCAGTGTCCCATCTATGCTTACTGTTTCTTTTAACTCTAATCATATATAACGATCTCTATCATGCCTATACGTAACATTATCAAGGGAACGATGTATACCTATATACAGTATATGTACACAATGGCGCCACCACAACGCGTGGTTATTTATAATTTACGGAATAATATTCATTTAATAATTTATTATCGACGGTTTTACCTGGCCCTCCTCACGGAGGGGCCCGTTCCTCTCACTTTTTCTCCGTTTTATAATAAATACATTATAATACATCGCGCTCTGCGCGTAAAATTGCAGCGGACTATGATACCTTTTCCATTTAAAGCCGTAAATTACGACATAAGAACGCCACTTTTTTGCCAGTTCTAACAAGCACAACGAAAATACCTTTTGAAAATTTTAAGGTGATACTTCCTCCCGCCATTAAGTCGTATCGCATATAGAATTGTAATTGTTTTAGATCGCATTTTATAGCATATTCGCTCGTCGAGAAATTGGATGCAATAACAATGTAAACAGTTTTACAGTTTTGAGAAAAATGAAGCTTAAGACGTTGAATCGTAATAGATTAATAGACAGATAGCGTTAGGTACGTTTGAGAAGATGCCCCTTTATATCGTAAGACTTTCTTCACAATTTCTTCAAAGAGAGGACATTAAAATGCGTCAAGGGACCGGAATCGCGACGTAAAAAGAAGACTGTACAAAATGCAGTCGTTGACGCATAAAATAGTTTCCGTACATGCTTGCCCGAATAATACATCGTAAACACGAAATTATGTATCACGGTTCGATCTTTCCTCATCGGGATCGAAGATACTTGATATTACACGAGTAACTTGTCCGTTGTCCGATTCCCCCGTCGAGCCTCGAATTGCACACAGAAGGTCGAAAAGGCGAGCCCGAATCGACCTCTACGATTTCTCGTCCATGGAGTTTGGCAATGGTCGTTTCTTCAAAATTCCCAGGTCTTGCACGTTCTCGAGAAAAGTCTTGTGATGTTGAGCGACCAGAAGTGGATTCACAGTCTGCACGTCCTTCTTAAGCTCCTCCATATCCCTCTTGAGCTTCGCCCTCCTGTTTTGGAACCACGTGATCACTTGGGCATTGCTCAGACCCAGCTGAGCGGCGATCTCGTCCCTGTCGGCCGGGCTCAAGTACTTCTGATACAAGAATCTTTTCTCCAGCTCGAAGATCTGCTGATTCGTGAACGCGGTCCGGCTCTTGCGCTTCTTCTTCGGCTGCTGGCGATTGTTGAACAGGTTCAAGTGATTGGCTTGCTCTGCAACACGAGATTACAACGAGAAATTAGACACGGTTAGTCGTGTTCATATATACTTATTTTCTCGATACACGGCGTGACAAATCAATACATCAAATATACACTGGATTTAAAGTCCTTTTTTTTTACAGTTTTAATCAATCTGTGGCTTTAAGTCGTTTTTAATGTCCCTGCCGTTCGAGCGTGAAATACCTAATGTTACTTTTATTAATTTTTCAACTAACTTTAATGCGAAAATTATGCTATTTAAATATATGTAATTTATTCTATTTTTTTATAAATGCACGATCAAACTTCAGATTTGCAAAGAATGTAGCAAAAAGTAGTGATCGAAGAAGCAAGTGGTAATCGACGAAGAATAATTAAAGGATCGGTTTATAACGAAGCTGTAATTTTATCGGTGATCCATGCGATTTCTCACGGAAAGATCTGAAAGCGATTCTGCCTTCGTGGTAGCGCCGCGCCGCATCGGTTATCACGCGCGCGCGCGGATAATGAATGAGCCGAAGGCGCGGGTATTGCGCAAACGAACCGTCGATTCAGCGGCAATTAAATCCTGCCGATAACAAGACCGTCGGCTATTCCCCAAGACGAGCCCGGCCGTGTCTCTCCGGGAACGCGGTGCGATAATTAGCTACCGATACGAATAGGTGTATTAAGATTTTATCGCTGACGTGGTCTGAGTAATCGCTCGCGAAGCTACGTGGCGGAAAAAATTCTCCGTGAAAACGCGTTAGGCGTAAAATACGACGGTCGCGCGGAAGGAAAGAAAAGAAGGATTGGGAAATTAAACACGAAAACATTTTAAGTCCGCGCGCGCTCCGCATGCTTTATCGTTTTCGCCACGTACTTAACGCGCGTTATGCGTAGTTAATCCCGCGTGTGTGTGTGTGTGTGCGGAAATAAGGCGAGAGATAGATAGACGTGATAAGAATATATATTACGGCAGATTGATCCGGCGTAATACGTCGAGTTTCTCTATATTGCATAAATTTACAAAGGCATCGATAAATGCAGGATATATACGTGTTATATGATAATCGGGACAAGATAATTATCAATTAATTTCACGAGATTGCCAGTGAGCAGGACATGCAGATCGGAGATTGAAGCATAGATGCAGCTGCGTAGCAAATAACAGCAGTTCCAGAAACAATTTTGTATGAAATAAAGTTTACGTTAGGCATTACTTTTTTAAAAAGTGTAAAAGTTTAAAGTAATTGATGTAAATTTTTAAACAACGTTTATGACTCATTTCCTTTCCATCCGACTTACTTCAGTGTCTCGAAAAAATCTAAATTCTAAAATATCCTTCTATATAAAGCGACTTCGGAAATGCAATGCTATATACCGAATGCGCGGTATGTAGTAATCGAAATTTCATAATCCCGCAACTATCGGGACATGCAAAACGAATCGAAGTTTTTTTTCGAGGCGACCGCCGTTGGACTTATAGTTCACGGAATCGTCTCTGAGGGCTACAAATTAAATGTATTTTCGTGACATGGAAGGGTTCTCCCCATAAAAGTATTACGCATTCGTTACGGTGCTCAGTCCACGGAATTCCAAGAGCCATAACTATCATAGTTCCCGGTTACTATTAGCTAAGGCTGTAGTTCAAAATGTTTCTACCAGACGTTCGCCTTTAGCCCCAAAGCAATTTGAAGTTATAACAAATCAGATATATATATGCGGATATAAATAATCTCCATTTTGCGATATTACGCTATATATATAACTTTCATCTCTAAATAGAATCTAATGCAATTTGTTAACTGATTCTCCAGCTGACGTATCTAAAAACTCAAACTTTTCGATTAAATCAAATTAATTCATGTTCTGAATTTTCAAAATTTTAGAGGACGAATATGTTAATGCAATACATATTTTTTATTATAAATTTTTTATATCGAAATACTTTCTGGGAGATCGGATTGCCACTTTAAAAAGTTCTCAAAAAAATTTCCGCCTTATCTTATCGAGCTCGTTGTAAGCGCGGTAATTTTCTTAAAAATCAGCTTGTTATTATAAATTAATTGCCGGTTTAAAGAGTATCCGATTAAAGCAATCATCTGTGCCTTATCTTATCGGATGTTTTTTTTTTCGTAAAGGTGAACTGGAACCTAATTTTTTTATATACACGTTGCAGCGTGATCTGTCAAGATTAAAGCACGTGAAGTAGAATAATTTATTTAAATATCTGTTGGTGCTATCTATAGGTGATCTCTTTAGATTAGATCGTAGAAAATCTATTTCAGCACGGTGTGTAAGGCTTGACAGGAAAATTGCCGTATCGATTCTATTGGCTAATCGCTTCCCCGCGAGGTAACCTAAAATAATCACCACCCGTCGTCGTATCCTATTAGGATGATGCCGCGTAATACTGGTTTCCGTTTTATAATTTTCGCTACGCTCGCGTTGACCCTCGGAACAAGGAAAATATTGTCAATTAACGTCGTTATTCGGTTATCCAATAACCGGAGCGACTCCGCGAATTTTTTTCTACTTCGCGTAATGTTTACCGGGGAATATACGCGATGGCCGATTTTGCAATGGCGTTAGCCATTAGGAAATAATCGAATCGAATGATGAAAAAGAGAGAGAGAAAGAGAGAGAGGGAGGGAGGCGGGCGCGATGAGTCGTGGACAAAGTAGCCGAGGAGTCGCTCCAGGATCAAAGGCCGCCGCCATCGGTCACACCTGCACAACCCGACCGTACAGTCCACTTTAAAAACTCTCACCGATCGGCACGAGCGATGTCATGCACATATAAGGCGACCGGACGTCTCGTTTTCGGGGGGACAGTCCGCCTTATTTGAAAGAATGGTTCGCGTTCTTACCATCTTAATCATTTTATCACGCTAATTGGAGATGAGAGTACAAGCGCGCGCTCGGTGTTTGAATGCAACCCAAAAATACGGAGTAACACGTGTTTCGTTCAATCCACAGCACGCCCCGCTTTTCTAACGGCCGACATTTAATGTTTGGAGTTAACCGTTAGTCTAAACATCTCAGAATCTTGACACTTGCCGAGAAGATTGTGAACGTTAATCGTGTGGATTATATTATATCTGTGGTTTTTCATTGTTGTCTGTCAAACACATAGATTCTTAATTGCGTTTGTATTGGAAACGTAGTCGTTATACTAAGAAACACAAATTCAATCAACTCAGTACGCGAGCAATAAATAAACTGATTATACGCTAAATGTCTTGCGGAGATATTCTATTTGCCGATATATTAATTTAGCTATGTTTACGATTGAAATCAATATTACGTGGAAATATTAATAACCAGCGCGCGCGTACGGCAGAAAATTAATTACCAATCTATAGACTTCAGGAAAATAATTAAAGAGAAGACTATCAAGGCACTTTGCAACGAAGGCGAACCTTTCGCGGAAGGCGTATTGATTCGATTACACGTACGCACTGCAACCTAAGTGCAACATACATATTCACGTGTAGCGAAATGGAAGAAAAAAGGCTGTTAAAAGGTTGAAAGTTTTAGACTTATGTAATATAAAATAAATGCGTAATAAAAATATATGCGTAATTTTTATACAAAATTAAATTAACCAAAATTTTAATTAACCAAACCGCGGTGTTCAATTTATTAATTTCAATTTTTTCCTCTACTATATTAATTACAATTTTCGTGGCAGATTAATTAATTATACAACCTTCGACCTTATTGTACTTTTTGTTTACATCAATTATTCTCTTCGTCCTTCCTCTATTTTTGGCCTCTGAAATCAGCGATTCGAAAACACATGACAAATGAAATCGAAGACAAAGCGAACGAGAATTTTGCGCGACAAAGATGTTGAGAGACACGACGATGAAACGGTAAATGAACGAACGGACGGACGAATGGACGGACGGAAGAAGCGTCGAGATATTAGTTTCTGCGGTTGGTTCTCCGCAGAGATTTAATTCGTTTGATGTTCACGATTCGCCGCTTCGGCTGTCTTTTCGCAACTCGCGTCCCCTCCTCCCTCTATCTCTACAACTTTCCAAACAGTTTTAATAGCCGTCGTCGATGCTTTCTTTTCCGAAAGATTTTCTCACCCTTTTGTCGGCAAACATTCCGGATTCTGCTGTAAAAGTTTATCCTTCAAAAATCGGATATCATCCATGTTTCATAAAGGAGTAAAATATTGTATTATTTATTAAAATATGTACCTATATTTGTAAAATACGTTACATGAATTGTGGAATTTTATTCAAATTAATTGGAATTCTTTCACACACAGAATTATAAAAGAACTAAAAACCTAAATTCTTTAAAGTGACATATATAGATACGCATTGGAGTACTGTACTGGAATAAATTTCTGATAAAGGGCAGCCGACGCGACCACCTGCCGTGCGTAAACCATATCCGTGTATGACATCTACTAGGGTCACAGATGGCGGCGAAATTCGCTTGATTAATGTGCTGACTTGGCCGAAAATTTGGTTTAATTACACGAGCCGGTATACTCTCGTATATCTGTGCCTTATCTTGCTCCGAACATAATTTAACAAACCGCTCTCATAATGAATCAATAATTAATAACAGATTGATCCTTTTATCGCTGAAGTGTAGTCTGTAAAGAATATGCCAATTTTAGAAAGTGGGTTATATATAGCGCCCTAAATTATATTATGTACGAGATATTTTTCGACGCAAAACTCACGTTCTCTATGATTTGTAACCTTAGTAGAAGCAAAAAATTGCAGCAAAAAAATCCTGCTATAAAATTTTACTCAATTTTTTATGTAATTTTATAATAATCCTTTTTTATACAATGGATCTTTTACAAATCTAGAATGCATAGTCAAATACTAGTATTCTCAAAAATTGTAAAAAGTGAATTTTACATCTAACAATTTAACACGGAAAGAACAATTTTGCTGGATTCAGATCTGAAAATAATTTTGTTGGAAACTTAAAATAATTGCTAGAATATCAAAATTTTTTATAACAATGCTTATCATTTTTAACATTCCAACAAAA